GGGGTCGGATTTAGAAGAACTATTATGGAGCTGTGTTTCTTGATCTAGCTTACAACGTCCTTATGTAAATGGTGTGCTTTTGAGAATTTTAGGAGTCCAAAACCTCTTATCTAAAACGGAATTGTGTCCAAAACTTGAGTAGCTCTTTCTTACTGAGCTCTCGTTGCTCTCTCGATTAACACCTAAAACCAACCTCGGCCATTTAAACGTGAACACAACGTTTGTGTTATCGTTTGCATCATGTAAACAATTGGTACTTGGTAAGATTGAGATGGCAAAACAAATTGACGTAAACAAATACAATGTAAAGATGGAGTTTACAACAAACAAACAAAAAAGGTCCGTATGTGTTAAATCGATGGGCCCCCATTGATTCCGAGGCCATAAGTCAATGGTCGTCAGAGAAAACCGGGACTAGACCGGGTTTTGTTTGTTCTTATTATTGTGCTGTGAAGGAAACGACAAGTAGGGTGGAGTCACGGACGGATTCATAGAAGCCCTTTAATATTTTTTACATTTACACCGAGCGCGTTGTCTTCTGACGCTCATTCACTCACTTTGTAACCAACCCCTAACCACGATCCTCTTTCAAAAAAATTCACTCCAATTCTCATTCTAAAACATATGAGTAATTTAGCAATTGACTAATTCATTCAACTACTACTAATTCATTACACACAAAGTGGGCGCCATGATCACAAATTCGCCTTAATTAACTCGCCATTACAAAGAAAGAGGGTTTATTTATGTTTTAGTTAAACATCGGTTTGACTTGGTTACCAAATATAATAAACACACAATTTTCAGATGTAACTACTCTCTGTACTGAACCAAAAAAAAAAAAGCAGTTAATGTTTGGTTGGTTTTAGTTAAGATTCTACGGTGATTTTTTTAGGTGGGGGGGTGGATATTTGTCTTCTAGTGCTGTGTGGCCACGTCACGATGACCTGTATAGAATTCTCTCTTTCACTGACCACGTAACTATTTTTCGTTTATTCCCTCATATCTCTCAACTCACAAAATTAAACACTACCCTTATCTACTCGTGTTTCCTCTGTGTATACTTAATAGTATTCCACTGCATTATAC